TTTAATTTTTATGTTTGCTTATCAATTGAAATTATACTTTTTCACTAAAGTGTTTCTTTCATTTCTGACCCTGATTAACGTTGTAGTAGAAATATTGCAAATGGGGGGGGCATGAAAAATAACAGAACTGCAAGTACGCCGAATATTGATAAAGCTTTCGAACCCTTGATCTGTGGGATGGCAAAATTGTACATTTTTCTTTTTTTTCTTCTTTATTTTTATTTAACTAGTGATTTTTGTTGTACACTTGTTATAATCAAAGTGATTAAATTCGTCAGAAACGTGATTTTTATGATAATGAACATTTCATTGTGCTTTGATGATGTAAAAAGACTATGTAATTTTTGTATGAGCTTTCACCTGCTAAAAAAAACTTCATTTATCTCATAATTAAATCAGGTACTTTCGGCTTGTCTTAAAGATATATGCATTCTTCAAAAGAATATCCAGTAAATCTTTCAAAAAAGATTATTGTGTGACTGAGATAGGCTCTTATGCCTAGAATAAATTTGTGGAATAATTGGCCTTATTCTACCATTTGGGATTTTTAATGGAAGACTGAAGATTTCTTTATGTGATGAAACGGCACATAAATATATGTTTTATTACAAAAAGTTTTTTTTTTTTTTTTCTGAACAAATAATTTTTGATTGGGATATTTGTCCTTATATATTTTCTCTATTGATTTCAACTGGTTCACCACTTTGGTATGATATTTTAATTAAGACAAAGTTCCTCTAGGCCTATCTTTCGGTAGAAAGAGATGCCTTTGTGGAGGATTTTAGAAGGGGAACTTAAAGTATATGTTACTAGTCTGAAGAAAGGAATGTAAATGTTTCTGGTGGCGTTAACCTCATCCGGTTTCTTTCCCTTTTTTTTTTTTTTTTTTTTTTTTTTTTTTTTTTTTTTTGAGACGGGACAGCAAGACATTAAATAAATACAATCTGGAAAATGAATGCATAAGCTGTTGATACTATATTTTACTAATTTCACCACAAATTCAAAGCTGTGAACTTTTGGAAATATAATGATTGACTTTTCTTGAATTATTATTCTTTTTCCTTTTCATATGTTTCTATTTAAAATTAATATTAATAGGAATACTAAGAAGCTTTTTTTTTCGCGAAAAAAATTTCATTTTTCACGCATTTAAAACTCTTTATCTATCTGCAAGAAAGAATAGTTCGCATGTGATTCGCGATAAATGATATACCACAATTCATTTAACAAACAGGTAAGCAAAGAAACTCCATTCAAGAATGCAAATAAATTTTGATAAAAACTGATGATGATCAGCGCTGACACCCTTGAAATCTATATCTTTCGTTGTATAATGCATTAAAAACTCCCAGTAATGGCCATTTAGGATACCGTTAATTTTATCAACTAAACACAATTCTCGAGTATTTGAAGGGATCAAGAACTTTAAATTTCAAAAATATTTTAACTATAATATTTGATTTCATGAATCTTTAGTGCTATTGCTTTTCATAGCTGAAAGGATTTCTAATAAATAGGTTCCTGATAGTATTACAAAGGATAATTATTAGTATTCCTAATATATTATTAAACCACCAGTAAATTTCATATTCAAAGCACATATTGTTATTTAAATGCTTCAAAACACATTACATATATGTTACATGTCTTATGTGCATATACTCAACACAAGAACATCTCCTTACATTCACATTGTGTACAATTATCATTCATTGTAATGAATAAAAATAATAGAGAATCAAAACTTAATTTTATAGAATAAAAGTAAGTTAATTTTAAAGTGCATTTATTTTTATTTATTTATTTTTTGAGAACTAGTTTGCATTTTCTTTGTCGTACAGTTAATTTCTCAGTGTCTCCTAAACTTAAAAAATACTTTTCAAGATCTTCAAAAATATTTAATCTTTTTAAGGCGTAAGGGAATTTTGCATGCTGTTGTAGTGTAAGTGTTTGGCAGTGCAGCTGGACCAGACGCTCAAATGCCGATGAGAATCGTACAGATGACATGCTTCTTCATTTCTAAAAGCCTAATGCTATCTGGAAAAGTAACCTGTTTTCTATTATCTTTAGTTTCCGCCCTACTCTTCATTTTCAAAAACTTCAGTGCTCTATTTTCAGTAATTTCTTCTGTGGATAGATCACGACCGAATGACACATACTCATCAAGATTTACATTACCAACTATTTTTTCTTTTACTGAGTTATTTTCATTTGTGACTATAAAATTGGAAGTATAGGAAAAGTGTTTTTTAAAAAAAAAACAGGTTTTTTTTTTTTTTTTTCAAAAAGCATTTTTTAGTGTATGCTTCTTTTATGCAGTCAGTTTGCAAAGCGATGAGTAAATATCCAGCTTATGGCTTCAAAGGCATTTATGATCTTCTTTTGCCTTTCCTATCTTCCACAAAAAAAAAAAAAAAAAAAGAGAAAAGGGGTGTGAATAATTGTCTCAGAGAAAAGAAAATTGTTTCTTATCCGACAGATTCGATTTTGTTTTGATAAGAACTGAATCAGCATTATTTGTTCTTACGTAAAATAAACTAGGTCGGCATTCCTTCCTTCCTCAAATATCTGTTTATATCTATTTAAGTAAACTGTAAGCGTGATTCAGTGAATCACTGATTTAAAGATATAATTTTAGCCTATCACTCATTTTCAAAGTTACACACACATTTTCATAGTTAGCTTTCTTCAAATAAATAATTTTCCAACATTAGATTTAAAAATTAATAAATTTTTTGATGCTGTATATTTATTGAGATCAAACTCGAAAGAAACAATTAAAATTAAACAGTAATCTTAAAATATGTAAATATGTATTCCTTCATTTTAGAGTGTACTTTAAATTGAGGTGTTCTTTATTCGGAGCTGTTCTCTATGAAACGGTTTACTGCATATTCATAAATCGATGAATTTTCAGACCTATTCCCATCCTGTATGCTGGGGAAAAATACCAAGTTTGTTTGAAAGATGTATTTGATGGTCACATTGTTTCAATTAATAATCTGCCTTCTGTGTGAAATTCTACTGAATTTGATTTCTGTATTAATACAGGGAGTATTAGAAAATAGTGTAGCATAGATACTAAAAAAGTTAAATTATTTTGAACATATGAAGTGAAAGTCCAAAGAAAAATTTCTCTTTCGGTTATTTTCATCCACTTTTGTAAAATATCTGTACTATATCACAAAATTAAATATATAATGGAAATTGCTTGAAATAATTTAAATATACAGTACAAAAATATAATATAAAAAAATGAAATACACAAGGAAAAAATTCAGACAAATTCACCATTGCGAAATAACGAAAAATGGCTATTAATTTCCAGGACTTCTCTAACACCAGAATAGATGATGTGAAAAACGTAACGTAACCTTTTAATATGTTTCAAAGTAATCCCCATCTGCCGTAATACACTTCTGTGTTCGACTGTATAAGTTGCGGAAACATATTTTAAAGTCCTCTTTCGGAAGGCTCATCAATGTTGACGTCACTTTCTTCTTGATGTCTTCAACATCCACAATACGTGTTCCTTTGATCACAGTTTTGAGTTTGGGAAACAAAAAGAAGTCTACGGGCGCCAAGTCAAGAGAGTATGGCGGATGATGCAGCTCCACGACCTTATGCTTGGCCCGAAACCTCTTCACTGGGAACGCAATGTGGGGGCGGGTGTTGCCATGCAACAGAAACCAACTCCCATTCTGTCGAAAACGGAGGCGTACTCTGTGAATTCTTTGTCGGAGTCGGGCAAGAACTTCTACATAAAACTGTCCTGTAACAGTAGTGCCTGGTGAGACAAATTCATGATGAATAAGTCCTTCACTTTCGAAGAAAACGATTAACATGGCTTTGACTTTTGATCTTTGGAATCGAAATTTTTTCTGTTTAGGAAATCTGAGAGACCGCCATTCTGAGCTCTGTCTCTGGGTTTCACAGTCGTATTGATAGCACCACGATTCGTCACCCGTCACTATCGAATCCAAGAAAGCAGGGTCAGCGTCAGCGTTGTCGATGAGTTCACCACACGTGTCTATTCTGACTTACTTCCGATGAACAGTGCGGGACAAATCTGGAACACACCTTGCGTTTCCCTAGGTCTTGGGTCAGAATATGGTGAACCACCTCTTTGTCGATGTTCAGTTCATTGGCCAGTATTCAAATAGTCAGTCGCCTATCCGCTGTTACAAGCTCGCGAACTTTTTCAATTGTTTCAGGCGTACGCACGGAAATCGGCCTTCCCGGTGTGGGAAATGTGCGGGAACGGGATAATGCTTGCTCACCATACACTTGCTTCAATACTGCATGTGTTTCTGCCGCACTTTTGCCCAGTTTAACTCTTTGAAGACCAAATCGGCTCAGACAGCCCTTCATTCTAACGACCAATACCGCCCCAAACGGCCGGAATTCTGATGTTGTTTTCTTCCCTCCGCTAAGGTATGCAGTAGCAGGTTCAGTTTCCAAATGCATTGTATCAGTTCATTGCAGATAGCTTGTCCTAAAAGGATTTATTTGTGGTTTCTTATCTTTATTTGTTAGGCGTAGAAAGGATGCCATTTGAAACCGTCACTCTTCTTTGTCCGTTAATGGATTGGGAGGGAAGGAAATTGCTGTGACTCTAAAAAACCATTTCGGGCGGTTCGGTATTTCACCATACAGGTTAGCGAAGGCTTTGGGTTTTAAAGAGTTAAAGCAGAAGTTGATGTTCAGCCTTTGTTCCATTTCAGCACTTCCACAATACCCCTTTCCCACTTCGACAACAACACTTCACCAGATACGTTTCCACGTGTCTTTCTCAGCCAAGCTCGTGTCAACAACTGATGCGCGCTGCGGGGAGCATGTGCAGATGTACTACTTTTCAGATACCAGCAGCGCCTCTCTCGGGCGAGTGACCGGTTTCATGCTGTGACATCAGTCCTGGATATTAATAGCCACACCTTCAAGTAGTATATGTATGTGTGTATATGGGTGAAATATTTTGTAAAATAAAACTTCATAAAAACCTTGAGTGAATCCAAAAAGGAAAATCACGTATATTATACTAAAACGGAACATATCTCCGACCAGCATACTGTAGATCATGGTCACGAAAGGTCCCGTTAAACGTACAGCCCTGAAAGGAAAAGTGAAAGTGAATGTACTTAGAGTAAAAAAGAGAATGGAATTCGTATATGAAAGTAACTGAAGTTATATTGGAGGAGTTAAAGCAGCAAGAATCAGCGTAATATTTATAAAATTGCAGGATTAGTTTCGAAGGTTTTACTATAGAACCTTCTACTTCAGCTGCAGAAGTGAAAAAGAGGAAAGGAAAGTCAGTGCTCAGTAGATAAAAATGAGGCAAAGGAAGTTAAACTACTGGCACCATCTATTGATGAAAGATGGAAACAACTGTGTAGTATTTAAACCTTCGAAACTAGTCTTGCAAACTTATGAATATTATGCTGATTATTGTTCCTTTAACTCTTTCGATAATCGTTAATCCAGCATGTTATTTTAGCTCGAAAAACTGAAGTGATAGTTTTTATGAAAACTGCAAAGTTTGCATAACATACATGTACAATTTATTTTACAGCGGTTTTAGATTTAGTATTGCAAAATTAAGGAGAGGAATTTATAGTTGAAATTTCACGCCGTATTGTACTTAATCGAGCTCAGAAATAATTCCATAGAGAAACACAAAGAATGCTGCAACTGAAGAAGAAGATTTTCTTTTAGCCTTCAAACTTAATCGTGCAAATTCTTGCATCTTACGCTAATTCTTGTTTTTTTGTATCTCCAACATTTATGATCTTATTATGCTATATATATTATTTATGCTATATATATACGAGGGCTGTAAATTAAGTAATGGCAACATAAGTATAAATCAATTTTTAATGAACTTACAAGTACAATTGCATTACATTCCTTCTACGTAATCACCAGCCAAAGCTTATAATATATATATATATATATATATATATATATATATACGAGGGATATATAAGCTATTTTTTTTTTAATTTTTAGTAATTTATGTAACACGCTTAATACTGAACATTTTGAAGCAAATGTAGGTGTCTTGTGAATTTTATGGAAATAATACTTTCATTAATTTACTGATCATCTGTGGCTGAATGTGGTTCAGATTACTGAACATCGATAATTCGCTTCCGAATTCGTGCTTTCCCTCGTGCGTAAGGTGAATGCAGTGCAGTCTGCGTTAGTTCTTTACGAAAGCGATTCACTCTACGAGTGGTTAAGTCTGCTGAATGCTCGAAATTCGCCTCAAACTTGGTTCGCGATGAACGTGTTGGGTTGCATTGATTATCGTAGTTTTCTGCACGTTTAACATGAATGTGAACCAGTTTTCACGAGTCTTCCGCGAATGTATTCCCTCCCCTTAGGCAGAGAGCCTTCACGTGCTTTGCCGCAATCAATTATCTAATCTTCAGGAAGGACATCCCACCTAAAGCAGATAGATCTAATGTGCTTTCGCATAACCGTACAAGCAGCAGAAGCAGATTTATGGGATCGCACAAGCCACGATCACAAGAGGCCCCACGTTTCAAGAGGACCTTAATAATTTTTAAAAGAGAGTAAGTGCACTCTGTGTTTCAAGATGAGCAGGTCCCGCAATAAATTCATGTGAGCTGGGCTCCTCACTTAATGAAATTTCGCTGTTTAGGTTTAGAAGAAAATATTTGTTGATACCTCAGATATCAGATCTTTAGATGATGATGATGGACTCAATTTTTTAATTGCGTTAAATAGTTGATCAAATTAATATTTTCCACAGATATATTTTTTAAATTATTAAATACAATATTAATCAAAATGTTCATAGATTTTTAGGCTAATTTTGTTTTTAGAATATAAGATATACTTAAATTTTCAATGACAAGCTAAATGTGCTAAATGCAGAATCTTTCAGTGTACATTTCACACATACACACATACACACGCGCTCCTGCTTTCAACAAAATATTTATTACGTAAACTGCCCGCGGTGCATAAAAAGACGATTATCTTTTTCCATTCTGCAGATAGCACTTAAGTAATCAGCCATAACTAACTAGTTAACTAACAAACTAACTCCGCTGTGAGTAATAATTTATTTTCGACATTTAGAAAATAGAAATCTTAAATAATTTAAATTTGAAAAAGGGTTTTTATATCTTGTACTTAAGCCTCAGAAATTTATTAAAATCTTACCCGGCAAAGAAAATTAGATAAAACCATGATCCAGGAATCGCTAAAACTAGTAGAATATCCTCAGTTTCTCTGTCACCAACAACTCGGCAAGGTATGCAGGAAAGTATAAGTAGGCATGATAAGACAAATGTCGACTTAGTAGGGCTTGTTGTCTATTGCAATAGAAAATACATCAAATTTTTAATTATTACATCTCTTTTGAGCAATATAAATATTACTATATATTTCATCACTGTTATTCCAAAAAATTACTTACCACTCCTTTACTTTTGCAACCTTTGGTGGTAGACATGTTCTTCCGTTACGAAAATGTTTTAATTGAGGCAAATATTCATGTTTTGGCATTTTTAAATTTAAAAAAAAATCAATATTGTAAATATTAATAAAGTTTGAAAGTTTATAAATTACTTGCTTGAAAACTTTTTTTGGCATACCAATTTTAGCAACGTTATAAATTAAGAATGTTTCACACAAGTAAATCGGAAAAGAATATCATTGAATGAAATTTAAAGGGAAGGAAAGTCCTAGATTTATTAGAATTTATGTACTAACCACTCTCTGAAAACAAGTCGAAAGTGATGCCAAACTTCCCATATTTTGAAATGAAATATCTTGGTCAATTTTTGTCGTACAGGAGTCAACATTTCTGAGTTTATTTCCGATACTTGGGTTTTGTGCCCAAATTTTGGAAACTTGGTTATTTTCAATACCTGTACTTTATCTCTGAACAAAACTGAAAAGCTCAGCGTCGAAGTACTATCAAAAGAAGTAAATGTGGCTTCAGAAAATTTAGTTATGGTAACTTTTATTGTTGTTTTCCTCAGGCATTTGATTAAGTAAAGTAACAGAAGAAAATTCATGACAGTAATTGCTTTTAAAATCTGATTAAACTACATACGCACCAAGCTTAACAGAAAGCCAGAGAGTCCTTGAGCAAGAATTTCTTGTATTTGTTGAAAAATACCGAATCCAATGCATCCGAGACAAGTTGCTATTTCAGCGTAATAACGAACCTAAAATCAGAGAATTTATTCTTGAAATTAAAATACACATAACATTTGAGGGACTTTTTAATCATAGAAGTGTAATACGGAACCAGTTCTGTTTACAGAAAAGTTTAGTTACAGTTCTGTTACATGTTCTGATGTTCTTATGCCATGCAAGAAGAGGTATTTTATTTCGGGGATTCATTCAATTTATCTAAAAGTTAATTTTATTTTTGAAGAAACCTTACCTATTATTCTCGTCTTTCTTGCCAGAATGTTAATGAATCAGCGCACGTGCATTCAAATAAGGTAGAAAGAAGTTAGTATTTAAGGAAAGGTTTTTGAAAATGAATTCAGAAAGAGAGGAGAGTGTGTTTTCCATCTGATGGCCACGTTGCTATCAATAATTTACTAGCGATTAGATTGATTTCTGTGCTTTGAATGCTTCTAGCCAATAGGTTTGTTTACGCCGACTTGCATGCCTGCGCGTTAAGTAACCCGTGAAAGGCTGTTAGCCTTGTTTAATTCTATTTTATTTTAATTCTATTTGTTACTTTTTGAGTTAAGCCAGAAGAATTGAATTTTTGTAAGCACGAGTCGGTGTCATCTGTGATAGTGAGTTAATAAAGGGTTCTTTACACGCTTCTTTGGATTTTGTCATATTTAAGACCTTGAAGATAATTCCTCACACAGTCTTCCAGCATCTGGTTAGTTTATACTCGCTAAGAATATGAGACTCCACAATATAATGCTTTTAGCTTTTAGATAACAAAATGCTCTCAAATTTTGCTCTAGAATGCACAATAAAGCAACCGCAGTTCCAGGAGCATACTTTTCAAAAATATTCCCTAAATTTAAAACGAGATTTTTTTTTTGAATTACAATATCTGATATTTTCATTACATCATTAATTGGCTTAATAATACGTTTTACCTCATTACATAGCTTCCCTACTATTATTTTTGCTTCGTCATAATAATTCTTCGTTAATATGCTTGCTTTTAAAATCTTTTTGGGGCAACTAATGTTATATACTGGATACAGCTGATGCAAACATGAGAAGCATTCTATGCCTTTAGTTTTTGTCAATACAGAATTTCTATAGTAATGTACTGCGACGTGACAAAAGAATCCTACACTAAAGAAGTGCACAACAAGAGCATCCATGCAAGTCTTAAAAGAAACTGTATAAGGTATTTTTCCCGCCTTCCTATCGTGCCTTCGTGGTATAGTGGTTCTGCACGCTGGGCAGGTATTCCAGAGGTCCGTGTTTCGATTCCTGGCGAAGGCTATTGCTAATTTCTCCTGCTTCCAAAAATACATAATGTCTCTACAGTGGCGCCCGAACTGAAAGGGTGTTGCATAAGGATTCTACGCTCCCAGCATTAAGCTCCAGTCCCCTAAAAGACCCAGTCGCCCTTAAAAGGGGTATTATATAAGGTATTTCTCCCGCCTTCTTAACGTGCCTTCGTGGTGTAGTAGTTTTGCAAGCTGGGCTGGCATTCCAGAGCTCAGTTTTTCGATTCTCGGTGAAGGCGATTGCTAATTTTTCATCTTGCCTGCTTCCAAAAATTACCTAATGTCTCTGCAACTGTTTTCATAAGGCCTAATGTCACCGCATCGTGACATTTCATGAGGGATAAGCTTACCGGACCCGTGAATATAATGGCGTCAGGAGGGCCAAATTAACACTTTTAGAGGAATTTAAAAGATTTTACTGCTCTCACAGATGACCACGCCAGTTTTTTCTTCTTTCTTTCGGTTTTGGTTTAGCTGTACCATACATTCCATGATAAAACCGGAAATAGGAAATTTTTTGATGTCCCTTTTTTCTTCAATATCTAAGGACGTTTTTGTGGTCCCCTCTTTCCTTGATGCCATAAGCAGGTGCTTATATTGCTCGGTAGTAGTTAATCCAGCCCTGCGCGTCAGGCCTTGCAGCTGGGTATACCTTAAAACGGTAGCCATAAACTTAAGCCCCGGATTGATGAAATCATGAATGCTCATTCGAGCAGCAAACTATAATACCTCTAGAACGTACAGGACAGCGCTAAAAGCTTCAAGGCTTTCATTCAGTGGTATGTAAAGAAACAAACAAAAACAAAATGATAGGATTCACTAACAGTAAGGACACAATGTTTAACATAATGATATCCAGAGCCGGATAAAGGGCGATTGGGCCCAATCGGGCCCCGCGTTACCATCAAAATTAACAAAAAAAATTTCGAAATTTAAAGCAAATTGCTTTTGACGATAATGGATAAATTATGAATTATTCAAATAATTAAAAACATATTTATTTTAAGTTCGCATTGCTGGATGAGATTTATTAATGTGTTTATTATTATATAATACGATATACTTTATAATATATACTTTATAATATAGAAAACTGATACCCGTAAAAGTTCATGTCAGATGTATTGAATTTAATCGGGATAGTCCTATATTAGAGAGATTTTGCACTACGTACGTGAACTACTTTACGTACTTAAACTACTATGCAGGTATATGCACGCGCAACTAGTTGCGCAACCGTACCAGCCAGTGGTGGATGTATAGCTAGTGGTGGATTTTTACATTTTTATTTTTTAATTTATGTAGAAGTTTACCTGTCTGATGATCCATGACATTTGATATATATATATATATATATATACTGAATTTGAATTTTATTTAATATTTAATATATAGAGAGGGCTCCACACACCAAAAAAAAAAAAAAAAAAAAAAATCCAACCGGGCCCCTCACCCATTCGATCCGGGCATGATGATATCCCATGCTCATACGTAATATCTCGAACACTCTGGTAATAACAGTTCAGTACCAACAATATGGAATGGCTTGTTGAATATCAATGTGTATTTTATCTGTGTTTTCTCTGTTATTTCTGTTTCATACTAGGGGGACTTTTGCCTCGCCTTTTGTAACATATGAATTCTTCCAATTCGATTTAATGAAAACGAATTTCAAGAAGCCTAATCTATTAAATAACACAACAACCGTCTATAAATGATTACAAATGTATACTTACAATTGACGCGGCATCCTTTCGTCCTAGTAAGGGTTCACGAGTCGTGGGTCGAAGAAAGACAGCTATACTGAGATTTAGCAAGTGAAATAGCATCATAAATAATCTTTTATAAAAATATCGCTGAAAACAAAAGAATAGAAAAAATATCACATACACTTAAGAACTTAATCATCAAAACTACGGGTTTCATTTGTAATATATTGTTATCTTCAAATTAAAAAAAAAAAAAAAACTAAGTAAATATAAAAATTATACATCTTCAATTTCAAATGAAGAAGTGGAAAAGATTTCTGAGACAACACTTTCTCCATAAAAGTTAGTTTACATATTTTACTTTCGCGTTATCCAATGAAAACTTAATTTATAAATAATTGAAAATGTAATATCAGAAATAACATATAGTAACTTTCTAAAGGCTACTTTGTTCGTTTTTATACATTACTGAACATGTTACCTGGGCAAAAGTTTTCCATTTTTCTTCTAGTAAGCGCTGAATGACGCCTCCCTCCAACATATCCAAATGTTCGCTTGAATTACCTTTAAGGATTATCATCAAAGCTGAATTCAAATCTTTAAAAAGAAAAAAATCATGTGTCAATATTTAGCACAAATATTGGTTTTCAATAATTTTACTTCTCATTTTAAGTCTCCATTCTTGTTCTAAGTTACAAATATACATTCAAATAGTGCAATCAAGAAATAACTTTAAAACATCAAGTCCTATGATTTATTTTGACTTTGCTCGTTAGGATTATTGATTTAATATTGAAAGATTCATCAGAGTTATTCTATAATTTTCTTCAAATATTTCGGTTATATAATTCCACAATTTAATTCAGTTATGTCGAACGTAATCCGTTTCATAATTTTGTCACTGTTGTCGGTATGATTTATTTTTATTATTTTATATTTTAATATTTTACAAGTGGTACAAAGGGGACATAAGTTTATGAGAAACAGTGAAAATGTATTGAAATATTAGATATGTGTTGATGCAGTGAAAATGTATTGAAATATTAGATATATGTTGATACAGTGAAAATGTATTGAAATATTAGATATATGTTGATAACATATTCTTGCTCTCTTGCAAATACTATTAAATGTGCAATTTGAAAATTTTTAAAGTTAGTATTATCATACTTTCTAAACGCTTTTCATACAATCATTTCTAACTCTTTTCTTATTTCCATTAAATTTCTTTTAATAAGCTTCGAATATTCTAAGTGTTTTATTGATTCGGTTGTTCATCGATTTATGCATTGACTGCAGTATAACTTACCAATGCATAGAGCGTAATTAAACGATGAATACCTGATTTGTCCCTCCTTCCTGCAATCCACCAGCACCGACCAGTGACCGAGTGAATCAGGACGCTGAACATTGGTAGTTCGACCAGGATTCAAAGCCCAGCAAATGGGCTAACTGCGGGGTTGTTTTTGTGTTTCTTCCCTATGTGTCAGGTGAATATAAGCCAAATTCTTATAGGTACAACTGCAAAGCAGATAGCCGAAATGTGCTTTGCTGAAATCAAGTAATCCAACCCACTCTAGCGAGGGTCTTAACCCTATCAATATCTCATTTTACATGTAATGGGATTCACGTATATATGTGATAAGAAAAACGAAGGAAATCTGACACGAAGTAAATATAAAAGTAATATTTTTGCAAATATAAAAGTGAATAATTTTCGCACGTAGAGATTATAGTTAGATAAATCCCAGTCTGATAAAATGAATTATCGAAGTTATTGCGAAAATGGATTGAAATGAAAGACCACTTTCAGACAGCTGGCCAGTTATACGGGAAGGTGGTTTAAGAGCTACGGGTCACCAGAAATATGGTATGTATGTTGAGGAAATAAGCCTAAGGAGCAGTAATTTAGCCTGGAAATCAGGCCAAAGTAGCCCAAGCGTAATGACTCATCATTAAGACTGTGAGCTTGTATTACATGTTGATCGGCCCTAGAAGAAGACAACCAGGCAGCTCTGTCATCAACTCGCAGCTGCGTCTAGAGCAAAGGTATTGAAGCAAACTGTGCAAGCCAAGAACTAAATGAAACAAGTCTTTGCTCGCACTGACTAGTGGTGTTTATTTCTCTCACCCCAACTATAAGAATCTACAGAAAATAGATATTGCGCTACGTTACACTTAAATAATTTTTAAAAAATTCAAAACAAGTACCCTGCATTAATTGTCAAAGTAATACACAGAAGGCAAATTATTCCGCTTCTGTGACTAACTGTCCCGCAGGTACTACACTGGTTATCATAAATTAAGGAAAAATCATAAAAATCACGATTACTGAAAAAGTTACGTGTAGAATTTAATGAAACTTACCCACAATATACAACACATAGTAAGGTATCAAATAACATAAAAAGAAATTACCAGACAAATATGGTAGTAGAAATTAGCACATGTATAAATGAACAAATCGAAGGAGTCAGTTTGCTATAGGAAAAGTACGTTCAATATGGAACATGATCGCCTCTAGAAGCAATACAGCACATACAGCGATGTGTGATGCTTTCAATTATGCGATCTATCAGTTACATAGGAAGCGAGAGCCATTGTTCTTGCTAAGCAGTTGCAAGCGCGACAAGGGTCTGAAGGAGCGGATTGAGAGCAGCTAGACGTCTCCCTAAAGCATCCCGAACGCGCTCGATAGGATTCAAGTTCGGGGATCGAGCTGGCCACTCCATGTGCATAATTGTTTCCTGTTGAAGACAATCATCTACGATGCGAGCCCTGTGTAATCTTGCGTTGTCATACTGTAACAGGAAAGCATCACCTATTGCCTCGGCATATTGGCACACATAAACATCAAGGATGTCATCTCTATAAATCTGAGCATTCACGGTTCCCTTGGAAAGACATGGAGGTCTGTGCGTCCACCCAAAGAGATGCCACTCCAAACACAAACACTACCCCTTCCGTATGCATCTCTTTCAAGGATGTTTGATGGATGATAACGGGTTCTAGATTCTTTCCATATAAAATAACGCGTACTATCGCTTTCTAGACTAAACCTGGACTCATCCGTAAAGAGATCTGCCCTCCATTGATCAGGCGTCCAGTGGACATGTTGTCGTGCCCACTGAAAACGGTCCCTCCTATGGCATGACGTGGAGCAGGCACGCACAAATGGCTGGTCGCCTCGCATACAGACCACCTTCATGAAGACTTCTACGCACAGTTGACGTTGCCACAAACCTTCCGGTGGCTGCAGCAAGGAAGGATTTAAGAAGAGCAGGAGTAGCGGTTCTATTCCTGCTGCACATAATGTCAAATATCGGTCATCGGCGCTCGTCGTAGCAGTTGGCCGTCCTTGGCTGAACCTCCTAGATACCGAATCTGTGGTTTGAAATTGCCTCCAAAGTCTATGAACCACAGAAGAACTCCCATTTAACCCATCTGTCCACTTCTGTTTGACTTTGTCCTGCCTCTAGTCTCCCAATGGTTCTCCATCGCAGTTCTGCAGGCAAATGATACCTGGAGGTCATTGTTACAAATTGGCTATCTCAGATTTCTGATGTCACAGCGAAATATGTGGGCTTGCTCTCAAACATGGACTTTTATGCTCCTCGCAGATGACGTATTCCGAAAGCAGCGCCACTAATATGCATATCGCAGTTTTACTCAGCTACTCTTACTTGGCAACATATTCAAATTTTACACGGTTTGGCTTATTTTTGAGGAAGTTATAGCTATTTTTTGTGATTTTCCCTTAATTTATGATAACCAGTGTACTTTTAAAAGAAGTGATGATTGTTGAGCCAACAGAAAAGTCCAAATACACACTGGCAACACTCTGCGCTAACAATATACATCGAATGTTACCGAAAACCGTTTCGTCTACATTTAGAAAATACTCTTCTGGCCATCTGAAACATCCCGAAGAAAGAATTCTGTAGGCTTGAAACTTTTATCATGCGTAAATCTCGATAGCGCATAAAAATGAGTGCATATTCAAATCATGTGCACCAGTAGCGCCACTCGAAGCATTGCAAAAGTGTAAGCAGTAAGCAGCTTTAAATATTGGAATTGTTTATTTTCCCACTGCTTCTTTACATGGAAAGCTGTAGTATGTCTCGTCGAAAAAATACCACTAACTCGGGCAAATTTCTGAGTTTTACAAAAAACTGAGAAATCTGAGCTAGTGTTGAACAAAATAAAATCATGGTGATGCGAATATACAATCAGTGGGTGCAGGATCCATGGACCAACCTACGGAAACAATTGCACTAGCGTTGATACGCCACCGAACGATAAGATAGGCATGATGAACGCATGACAATGATGGATCACTCAGCAACTCTAGTGTGGAATTAAGGTAGCCAAGAATTACGATCTGTGGCATAACAACTTGTGTCAGTACGTACAATTCGACGTTGCCTGCAGATAAAAGAAATCTTTGTAAGGCGTCCATTGCTCCGATTACCACTGACTGTACACCACAAGCGTATGCAGCTGCAGTTGTGCACTGACAGTCGAACGTGGGCAAAAAATGCGGCAGCATTGTATTTTCTCATGAACTCAAATGTAACTACAGCGCCATAGTAGTCGTATCCGACTATAGCAGCTCTGCGGTGCCAGAAAATATCATGAACTGTTAGACTGATCTAGCTGTCTAGGATTATATCTACCAGCCAGTTATTCGTGTCCTCTGACTGTCTGAGGGATTTTCACTGGAAAACTTGCACTTTTCCGCAACTGAAAAGAGCGATAAAAGCTTTTTCAAGTCCTCTGCTACTGCTGTTGATGGAACGCTAAAGTCAATCAGCCCGGTCTTCTTAGGTTGGAGAATTCACTGATGTATGAAATGAGTGAAGAGTCTGTGTGTCTTTCAAAGCCTGGTGAAGAATAACTGTCTTCTTTCTTTCCACAGCTGATCAGGAGGTAGCTATGATATTTTTATGCTATTCCCTAGTTTATTTAGATTTAAACTATTTGTTTTGAAATCTCAGTTACTCTGGCGATCTTTCTTTATCCTTCGGCCTTAGAAGCATAGAGTAGTCCTGTTTGGACTACGCTATTGAATGAGCAACTGTTTATTATATTTTAGGACCTCAGTGTACGAAATGTTGGCTGGTAATGTAATTCTAAACCATACTGAAACATACTATTGATGCTTTAGTCTGGGCGTCTTGGTTGAAAACTGCTGGAAGCTCTTTGAGACAGGAAGACTCCTTGGAGCATTGCGTTAACTCCGCTTCATTCCTTTGCTGTAAAACAATGACTTTTTCGTCTGCGTAATGCAGGCTTTCTGTGCAGCTATAAATAGCTCCTGCTCTACTGTTAAGTCTCGGATATCTTTAATGAAACGCTGCAGTTTTTTAACGCTTGTAGTATTGAGTTTTCTTCTTAATTTGCACCTAACCAGATGTTCTAATTCACAATCCGCGATTCGCAGTATTTGGCTGAGCCTTGTAGATGAGGTGTCTTTGGTTGGACTTTGTGGTTCTGACGCAGCAGAGAGGGAAATACAGCGTGCTGGAGAACCTTTGCTTGAGCCTCTGTGTGATGGTAGATCATATATTAAAAATTAATCAAGAAAGTATCGAAAGATGACTGAATGGTGCAAAATGCGCGCGGCCTAAAAATTCTACAGGCAAACAGTCTTTCAGAGATGTACTGCACTCTAATTACTAAGTAGTAGGATAGGTGACGGAGGGCACGGGCACTGTCCCTTTACCATTAGGTTAATCGGTTTAGCACCGTGCCCACCCCCATCTAGAGCCATATTTATTGAATATCAAAACAACAAATACACGGCCAAACAAGGGCTGGAATGATTATATATGAATTTAGATACTGCCATGAAAGGATTACATTTTCATAAATAAACAGAAATAAACGACTGTAAGGGAGAGTGTGACTGGGCCCTCAGAATAACACTAAAAAGTTATACAAAAGCAAAAAAATTCAAAAGTCGGCCGGCGGGCAAAAAGGTTAGAAGAAACGATGCAACCAGAAAGAGACGGGTCTTCCTCTGCCAACGTATTTAAAAACTTGAAATCGTGGTGTACCAAAATACTTCAAACTAAAGGCTCGGAGTTGATGCTAAACACATGTACTAAGCCTAAGTATGCTTAGCTATACTCAGTTTTGAAAAAAGTTAATTATTCATCCACTCAAAATAGAAAAGGGACGTTCTTTTTTGTCGAAAACGTTCCATTTATTACTTTTTACTTCAGAGGCAATTTTTTCCTCTTCGAAACAGTCAGGTTGCTAACGACTGCTATTTAGTACAGTCCCGTTTATTTACCAAACGAAGCGCAAGATCTTTCACTCACTGATGTCGCCCGAAATGATAGGGAACTTCAAAAGCAATACATTTACAGCGCACTCCTCTTAGAAATAACTAAATTGCATGCTGTCTATGTAATTTTTATCTTCTGTTTGTATTAAGCGAAAGTTTATTCATAAAAATATTTTAAAAGATTAAGTATAATAATTAAATTAACTTTATAAAGCATAACGACTGAAAGGAAGAACGAAAATTAGCTTTGTGCATTTCTGTTTTCTTCTATGCCCATTTTATAAGGTGCTTTTCTATATCAAAATTAAAATTCTTAGCAAAATGCACTAAATTGTAGTTTTATAATTGCCCTAACGCAAAATGCCGTTTCATGGGCAGATGTCGTTTGGATTTACTCTTTGAAGCATCAAAAACTGAGGGTTCCTTTATTGAAAATATTCATAATATGCCCCTTTCGCGCCATAATTAGCAAAACATGTCAAGAAACTTGCGAAAATTTACAAAATATGCTTTCCCTTGAAACATAAATAAAAAAAATGTTTAAAAAAGTATAATTTGTATTAATCGACTCCAAGCGAAAATATTTATACTTTAAAGTTTTTCATGATAAATATTCTTCTGTTAAGTGTGAATACATTTGAATGAAATGCATGAGAAACTGGAAGAAATTAAATATGAATTTATCTTTTTTGGAATACTTCCGTCTTATTATTTTGCCCGTTATTCCCTTAACTATACTTTTTATGCATGATATTTTGTTCAAAATGAAATGAAGATTATATATATAAAAAAAAAAAAAAAAAAAAGGAAAAGAAAAGAAAGAAAGGAAAAGAATTTCTGTGTGAGCTGAGCTTTTATATATTAAGCCTGTTGGGATTTCAATAACCCGCCTAGCTCGAATAATCCGTATCTAACTATAACTCTACTTTTTTGTTTATTTTTGAGAAGACAGTGCTAGGATATTATAAATATATTACTTGTAAAAGTTCCTTATTCGCAGAGGTTCCCCTTGCGAACTAAAGGAGACGAGCTAGTTCGGTTAGCACCGTTCCCCCCCCCCCAGATAACCAAGGTGATCTATCAAATTAAAAATAGAAATGAATACGTATAACATTTTAAAGTAAAAGTATGTTTGTGGTACATTTATATACATATGATATTTCAAATAATGAAAGTAATCTTCTGAGTCTACTTCGCAAACTAACAGTAGTTTCTTTTGAACTGTTTCTGGGAAATTTCATCTAACTTACGAGCAATAGTTTACGACTTACGACACATAAGTTTAATGAGAAATAGCCATGTAAGTCGTCTTATCGTGATTTTTCAGACTTTTAATTTTGGATGCAGACTACTGAAATCATTTGTTTTCAAAACAAATCCTTTCTTCTGCAGCAATGTTTCCCAGCCTTTTTCATGTCCCGACACACCTCACAAACTTAAATACTATCACAACGCAATACGAAGAAACATTTTTCTTTTCATATGACCAAGTTCTTCTGTTTCATGCTAGGAATTCGATTGTTTCTTTCAAATATTTTGCATTATAAGGCATTAACATTTCAGCCATATAATCGTTTCAGATGATTCTTCTTATGTAGTCATAACAATGCAATAAACAAAACAGATGGAATAAAAATACTTACATCTTTAATGACTGATATTTGACACAGTTTTTATATTACATCTACAAAGCAAATAGTCAGATTTGACTGTGTGAAACTACAATTAAACTTCTAGAACACTTGTAAAATCATGATATGAAAATGCAGATGTAAATTTAATTATACAGAAAAAAATTACTTACTGGGCATAAATATATAACTATTTAATGACAAAATAAACATTTTAAGTATTAATATAAATATCTGCAATTTACTTTTGCCACGGGGAATACATATATTATATTCTTATTTCAGTGAGGGTTTTAGGCTTATTTTTATGAACATAAGTTTTTTTATATATCTGGATGTATGGTTAAAATGTGCACGTAACTGATGGTCAAGAATGATCTTGATAGTGAACATACCAGAGGAACTTGATTCACATATGTATATTGCAGCAAATGGTAAAAAAATAGTTTATAGCGTTTTCACCGATGGATGGAAACTTCATTTTTTTCAGTTAAAAAGAACTGTAATGATGATACATTCTTAAACTCAAGTTCACACGTCCGATCGCTTTTTAAATCTAAAAACTTCTTTTCTCTCACATGAGTGGGATATCATGTGATCTAATGAAGATGCAAACAGACTTCGAACCTAAATCGAATTCTTTTGCTTCTGGTAATTCAAAGAGTAATAACGTTTTTTTCCCGTAGCATGTATATGTTTTATCTACAGATTCTAATATTTATAGTAGTTCGAAATACAATATCGACAGAATATTTCAACTAAACCATTTTTACCATGTCTTTCCAAAATTTAATTTTGCTTTTGAATCGATTAATGTTTTTTAGTGTAAGTTAATATATTCCCAAGTGGTTCTACATTTCCCGAATACGTCCATTTAGGTATTCAAATATGCCAACTAAGTATGCCATTTTTTATAGCCGACAACTGTCTTCTAACTTCGTAGAATACTGAGAGTTACTCTCACAAAATACTTTTAATTCTTCTTTCAACTTATAGACACTAGAGAAAAAAAAAAAAAAAAAAAAAAAACCTCTCTCACTTCACCATGGAACAACAAAGACTATGTGTGCCTCATATCATCTCTAAAAAATTTTAAAAGACCGCAGCTACTTGATCTACTTTTGATTATATTCACCATTTTTATATTTTTATAATGTCCTTAAATGTGGACTTTAATTTTAGAGCATAGTTATATAGTTATAACAATGATATGACTATATACATAGTTATTACTATGTATATTATTCTAGCGCTTAACTTAAGTGATCTACTTTTGATTATATTCACCACTTTTATAATGCCGTTAAATTTGGACTTCAATTTTAGAGCTTAATTATTTGACATGAGAGCTTTTCTACGAGCAAAACAGTATATTATTTCAGCATTAGGATTTCCAGGCAAAACTTTTCGGGCGCCTAGCCTCTTCTTGCCACTGCATACAATTTACATAATTTTTCCATGAAATTATGTTAGTGTCACAGTACTTTCAACCTAACTGTCCAGTGATGCCGCCTCATAATCAGGATTTGGAAGTTAAAATTTTCTTTGCGCACTTGCAATCTTTTCGCAGTACACCAGTGTGCAGCTGCATATTGGTTGGGAATCACTGCTCTGGAAAATAAAGTTGATTTCAATAAACATTGGGGTGGGAATTAAGTAGGGATCTGATTCAGCAAACACCGTTTAATGGGAGAGATTGCTGTAAATAAAATGCATCTTTTAAGTAATACTGCCACTTACTTGCTCTTCCGCTCGGTTGCAGGCTGTCTAGAGCATTTAAAGGGTAACCAGAGCATGTAATGTTACTGTACCGCCAGAATTCCTGTTGAAAGAAAAGAACATGAGAGCTAATCAGAAATGATGAGCGAGAATTTGTCAGAAATACACCTGATACAACTAGTATGTATGCCACTGAAGAATATTATTGTGAATTCTGTTGTAAAATGGTCGTTACTTACCTAAGCAATCCATGTTCTAGTCATTCAGATTAAAGGTAACAGGATATAAATTTCAAAAATTAAAATTTATTTTAATTGTTCCGGTTCGAAGGCTTATTAAACTAGTATACTAATGTGCTAGTACTTAAATATCTGAAATTTGGATCAGCTCATGGTCCCATCCTATTTGTTGCATTAAATATACGATAATCATGTTTACTTCCCAACAGCTTAATTTTAAGTTCATACTTTCCTAGTCTTGTCTTCCATCACAGTAGTCCATCACAATAGTACAGAAGTTTCATGCAAATTCCAGCTATGTGAAATTAAGTTACTAATGTGTATTTTTGAGTACAATTCATTACTAGTTAAAATTATTTCCTGCTGCAATTTAAGCACTTTGAAATTTTGCCTTACACTCTCGTCTGACTATTAAATGGTAGCTGTTTGACAAGTGAGTTTTGAAATGAGAATCACTGTGATTAGAACTAGACATTTCTAGGTGTTTGGCTGCTCAGATAGATGAAACTAAAAATTATTAGCGGCTTTAGACCAGTTGTTCAAGTTGTTTGAGAGCTAATAATTTTTCAGGTTTTAAGCCCTAAATTATTTGAAGTTATACAACAAGTTTTTCCTTTTAATTTTGTACAGCAAGAACTAAAATTTTGTTTATTTAGTTGTTTATAGGTTTGCTTAACTAAGGAGTATTCCATCCACTTAAATTAAGAGCATCTAAATAATCTTAAGTTGGTGTAAACATGCAAAACCTGAATCTAGATTTGCTTATAAAACTCATTAATGCAATCTGACGTAATTTAGTGCAAGATTTTAAGACATATTTGTTGAACTTTAATAATATTTTTTATACTAGTACATCAGAAACTTCCCTGTTATGTCATAAAAAATGATAATTTTATTTAAAATACTATTTTACTGAAGAAAGTAATTTCTCCGATAAACAACAGTTCTCATAGTTAATTTTTGTTTAAATTAAAGTAGTCACTATAACTAATAGTACTCCGCAGGATATTAATGGTAGAATAATTATCTTTGGAAAATTATGCCAATTATAATCAATTTAACTGACTAACATTATTGATAACTGATTAATGAACATCCAAGCTTCTTTCGTTAAATAAATAATAGGTGTATCCAGCTTTATTCATATTATTCTTTTGAATAAAAGGATATATAAGTATAGGTAGAGGTATAAGGGACACCAGTTATTTACCAAACGATAAAACAGGTCTTAGCCCCATATACTAACTATCTAGAAACACCAGCACCCCACAAAGTTCCATACGATATCTAGGATATATAATAATATCTAATGATGTAATTTTAAGGGATAAATTAATTACAGGTAGTCCTGAACTTACGATGAGCGCCTTTCAACCGTCCTGTCATAAGTCGATTCTGACATATATCGGGATTTAGTTTAAGTTTGATAATATTTTTATAAATTAAACTTTTTTTTACACGAAAGGAGTTTAAGAAACTTATGTAACATTTATAAAAAATGTTTTTCATACATATACATATACACTAAATACATACGTATTTTATAAAATTAAAAATACTCTTCATTCTCCTTCCTATTAACATAAACAATACTGCAAAAATATGTGAACAACGTTTTGACTTAAAAAGAACAAGTAAGCAACTGTAACTGATTTAAATGATTCATTCATCGGAAAAAATAATGTCTATCTTTATATGCTGGTGAGAAACTTTAAATTAGAGAATTTTTAATCTTTGTTTTTAGCAGTCGTAAAAGCAAGTCGTCGTAAGTTGGGCCGTCGTTAGTCAAGGATTACCTGTAGTTTTCGAAGGGGCAAAATTACTCGTTTAAGTTGAAGGCTGGGCCGAAGAATAAACTTCGGTACACTTCAGGGACTGTAATAGTATTTTGGTCCAAGTAAGTGGCTGCCACATTTATGCCAAGCTTTATTTAAAAACTTTTTTTTAAAAAAAGGGCCTTTCTAACGCTTCCAAATTTATAAGTTATTTACCCTAAAGATTTACGCAACGAAGAAAAAAGATATAATATTCAGCGATAAAAAATGTTTCTCTTTAAGTCCTTAACATATTTACAAAACAAACTGTGCCTTTCTACATGAATTGTCTACATTGTGTTTCTTCAAGAAGTATAGCAAGTAAAACTCGAAATATTCGGACAGCTTAAGTCACATTATCCGGATATTCAAGTAGTCCTGGTGAATGGATTATCCCATGGAGTTTTACTTTTTTTTATTGTATTTTATTTCGACAGAGATTTATACAGATAAATAAAAGATTAATTAATTGTATTTCCACCATTAAACCCACACTCTTGAAAAAAACTTTTATTTGTTTGATGCAGAGCTCACTTTTATCCCAACTATTGTAAAAAATGAAACTGATTTTTATTACTGTAAGTTCTAAAAATAAGTGCATGATATAATTTTTATTTTGACTTAGTCAAAATTTAGCGAAGGGATTACTTTTATTTGAGTAACAGAAAACATAGCACATATTTATTCAACTCAGATTAAATCAAGTTATTGTATTTGAATTGTATACATAAAAAAGAGGCAATATAATATACATTTTTGAAAAAAGAGCGATTGATATAACTAAACAATGACTCACAGATCTACATATTATACATATACGTAATCTACAAAATGTAATCGAAAAGGAGCTACAGATTGTACATAGGACAGTAATCCTATGTACAATCTGTAGTTACTTTTCTATTAAACTTTGTAGATTACACACTATATATATATAATTTATTTACTAAATAATATTGATTAATTGATTATATTAGCTCCTAAGTTTAATCATAGTAGGATTATCTTAAAAGAGTGAATCCATACTAGTAAGTTATATTTTGAAAGATGTTTTGAAGTAACTACTTTCAAGTTACTTCAAAATGGGATGACCAATGTCAAAAAGCTTTCGACGAAATGAAAAGAATACTGATTTCCAAACCTGTTTTACAATTGTATGATTCCAGTAGGCCATGTCATATTTTTGTTGACGCTTCTCAAACTGCTGTTGGAGCTGTTTTGAAACAACCAGATGAAAATGATGTCCTTCACCCTGTATCATATCATTCCCGAACTTTAAGAAATTATGAGAAAAATTATACGATTACTGAGTTAGAATGTTTGGCCATAGTAGATGCCCTAGACAAATTCTATTACTATCTGCATGGACAAAAATTTGTTATACATACGGGCCATGCGGCCCTCGTTTGGCTCAAAAATGTTAAAAATTTAAAAGGTAGACTCTTCCGATTGGTCACTCAAACTAAGTATGTTCAATTATGAAGTAAAGTATATCAGAAGGGCTCTACCAATATTGAAGCTGACATGCTTTCTAGACATCCTGTTTCACAGCACCTCCAACATTATGTACATTTACTTGATAGAAATGAAATAATCCAACAACAAAAAACTGATAATGTCTGCGGAAAAAATTACCAAGAGATAAATGATATGATGGTAATTAAGAAAAAGAATTTTTATAAAATTGTAGTACCTAAATCTTTAAGATTAAAATTGTTGAATAAAACCCATGAAAATTTTGGTCACCCGGGAGTTCAAATTATGCTTAACTTAATCACCCCTCAATATTATTGGCCTCATATTAGCGAACATATCGGAAATTTTGTTAAAAATTGTCATACTTGTCAACTTAATAAAAAGAAAAAACAGAGAAAATTTGGTCTTATGCAAGACGTACCCCCAACCGACAAACCTTTCGAATGTCTCTCTATTGACACTGTGGGAGGATTTAATTATTATAATTCTACAAAAAAATATTTACATATAGTTATTGACCATGCAACAAGATATGTCTGGGCTTTTCCCTCTAAAAGTGTAACTTCAGAAACCTATTGATTTGTCTAAAATGATTTGTCTATATGATTATGCCAATTGTCTAAAACAAATATTTCAAATACAAGTCCCCGAAAAAATTCTGAGTGACAGGAATGCAGCCTTCACTTCCTCTAGATTCAAAAAATTTCTTAAAAAGCATAATGTTAAACAACTTTTAACTTCATCTCACCATCCCCAGACAAATGGTAAAGTAGAAAGAGTAAATCAATCAATACTAAGTCGACTAAAATGTAAAGTAAATTCTTCTTCTAAAAAAGTACCGTGGACTAAAGTGCTAGAGCAAGTTGTTATCGAATATAACAACTCCCCTCATACGGTAACTAAGTTCACCCCAGCATACTTACTATTTGGTAACCTCCCTTTTGAATCTCCAATTGATCAAAATAAATACCCTTCCTTAAATGAAGCAAGGGCTTTAGCAAAGAAAAGAACTATCGAATACCACCGAAAGAATAAAACTAGATATGACATCAGATTTGTAGAATCTAAATTTCAACCTGGAGATTTTGTCCTTTACGAGGAATTTGAATACCCAAATACTAGAAAATTGACTTCACCCTATTCAGGCCCTTATCAGATTATGAATAAATTATCTGAAGTTAATTATGAAATCGACAGGGAAAATTTTCACACGAAGAAACCAACTGAGATTGTACATGCGTCAAAATTAAGGTTCTATTATCCACCCGACCCAAGAAACTTTAAATTACATCATGAATAAATCAAAATTTATAAATCAATAAACTATATCATAACCCTTCTTTTAGTTTTCATCCTGTTGTCCCCCTTAATAATTGATTTATCTCTCAGTGTCTGAAAAGTTTGTCTGCCCTTTTCTTTTACTGGGCTCCTTCAAACTTGAGTTTCAGGTTCAATGCACTTTCCGTGTGGGAAACACTCAATTGAGGCTATACTACAAGTAGAGTACTATACCCTCACATTCCCTTGAGCACATGTTTTCCTATATTTGTGTTATAAATTGTAGCAACAGTTGA